TAGAAATCTTTGTGATAAACATGACCATTGAAATCTACCCGAGGACTTTATAGACATACACAGGTGCCAAGGATCCAAGTGCGACTGATTATGACTAGTAATAATCAGATACATACAGATTAGAGATGCATGCGCCAATATCTCAGTGTTAGTAGCAAAAACAATGAGTCCTTCTGCAAGGAACAATATATTCTAAAATGAAATGGAGATCTTTTTTAAAGGTTAAAAAACTCATTCAATTTTATGTCTTACAGGGCTTATACTGAGTTCAATATTGTAGTAACTGTATTAATCAACTGTGAACCTAGAAACTTGCAGCCACTTGTAAAAGAGATGTACTCTTGCTCTAGAGTGTGTTACTGAATATGTTAAAGCTGTAGTGAAATGCTTCTTCTAATCATGTAGTTATTAAAAATTAAAAAAATAATGATTAAAAAATAATAATTCTTCAAAGCAAAAATAAAAGTGTGGGGTTCCACCAAGATCTACCCTTATTTAAAAATGTTTTATGTATTTTTATTTTGTGGATAAGTGTTTTTCCAGTATGCATGTAAGTGTACCATGTATGTGCAATGACTGCAAAGATGAGAAGAGGGAGTTGGATTCCTTGGAGCTGGAGTTACAGGTGACTGTTAGCTACCATGTGTGTGCTGGGAACTGAACCCAGGTCTTCTACAAGAGCCAACAGTGCTCTCAGCCAGTGAGCCTTCTTTCTAGCCCTTACTCTTATTTTTTTTAACGTAAAATAAGTGTGTGTGCCTAGGTAGCAGATAAACACAGTTTCAGAAGAGAATGAGAAAAATAGTAATTCTAAGCAATAAGCAGAAATGTATTCAGACTTACAACTAAGAATAAAAATGTGAATGTTATTTTAACCCCTAATTATGTATAAATTATAATGCAGACTTCTTGTTTCAGAAGAAGAATTTGAAGCCAACAGAGGCAACAAGGTTTGACGGGGTTCATAGAGTTGTTAGACACAGAGGCAGAGCTAGATCCTGGAACTTCTGCCTGGAAGTCCAGTCATATAGAAACTCAGACCTTTCATTTCCCAAATGAACACTGGATAGTCAAAGATCAGGAGGACATAATCTTCTTTATGCTTTGTGAAACTACTGTTTTGAGGCTGGTAAAGCTGACAGGTTTTAGGATGCTGTGGGTGACAGAATACAAGAAGAAAAATAACACAACCACACTATGCATTAAGGCAGCCCCTTGGGAATGTTATAATTTTACATACATTTCATTTCCTAGTCCTACAGAAGACAAAAATGAGGTTCCATTGTCAGCTACAATGTAAAGATTCAAGCTTTGATTCATGAACCATTATTCTGCTTAGCATTCTCAGTGTTCCAGTAAACCAAAGTCTGAAGAGAATTTCTTTCCATATATGTGGTGGCTAAATTACTTAAAAGATAATAGTAAATAAATGTTCATTTTTAAAACTTAAAGAGCTTAACCACTTATCCATTCATAAATATTTATTGAGAATCTATTTTGCATTAAATAGTGATAATAATATAAAAAATAACATACAATTTCTCTAGAAACATACCAGAACTTAAAAGTACAATAACTACAAATGCTCCATTGTATAAATTAAGTAATTTTAAGTTAAGTATATATTTTGAACAGTAAAAGGGATCTTAGATGTTACCTCATCCAGTGAGTCTCAAATAAACTTGGTCATTGTAATTCTTTGGAAATCTTAAAAATACAAACCATAGCATCGTGAAATAAAGCTTTTCTTAATTTTTTTGAGACAGCATATCATTAAATTACCCAGTTGGTCTTAACTCCTCATCTCAAATCGTGTCCTGTCTCTGTCTATCTCCTGTGTAGCTAGGACTATAGGTGCATGCTACTGTGCCTGGCTGTGCATGACCTTCCCAATGAGAACACTCATAAGTCAGGGGAAAACATATTTTGAAAATGCCCTCAGGGGCTGGAAAGATGGCTCAGTGGTTAAGAGCACTGGTTGCTCTTGCTGAGGACCTGGGTTTGATTCCAACATCCACATGGTGTCTAACAACTGTCCATAACTCCAGTTCCAGGGGATCTTATGCCTTTTTCTGACCTTAGTGGGCATTGGGTACACCTATTTATATGCAAACAATACACTCATACACACAAAATAAATAAAAAAATATTAAAAAAAGAAAATGCCCTCAGTTGATGCTCCCAGTCAGGTATGCCACGACCCCTGCTGCTTCCTCTTCCACCCCTTTGCTAGACAGTTGAGGACTCTGATACCAGAGAATTGGCTTGCCCCAGGCTGCTTCTACAGGTTAGAATATCGAACTCCTGTTTCTCTAATACCGTCACCTTTTCCTCATCCCAAAGGTCCCTACATTTTTTCTCTGATTCTTTCTTTGAGCAAGTAACAATACTGAGTCTACATATCTAGACAAAACAAGAAGAAAAGAACAACTACAGCTATGTGAGAGCTAGAAGATTCGCATAGGTTGTCTAACATCTACACTAACTTTACAAGTAGATGCTTTTGGGATTTTGACATAAGTTGTTTGACTCAGTAGTTCGCCTTGCTTGATTTGATTGCCCCTTTTCTAGATGTAGCCATTTTGGGGATGTTTGCCAAGCCCCGGTTGCTGGGGTATGCCCCATACTTGTCATTCTACTATCATTACAGGGGTGCTGAGGACATGAAATCCATTGAACCATCTCCCTAGCCAGAAAATGATATTTTTAAAGGGAGGGAGACCTATCTATATCTCCTTGATAAGAAGGTCTTTCTACCTTGAGCTACTTTCAAGATCAGGTCTCTGCACCCATGGACTTTTTTTGGTTCTTTGTTTGTTTGAGACAAGTTCTCACTCAGGAGTCCGGGATGGCTGGAACTACCTGTGTAGACCAGATTGGCCTTAAACTCACAGAGATTCACTGCTTCTGCTTCATGAGTGCTGGGATAAAAGGCATATACCACTATGTGCCACTTGAACTGTTTTTTTTAACGAAGTAATGTAGGTTCAATCACAACCAAAAAACTTTTAGCTAATGAAAATTGTGTTTTCATCATCCAATCAACCTTTAGACTTACTTCTTGTCTTTAAAGTAGTATGATTACACATACTCTTCTAAAACAAAAAAATTCTGAAACTTACTAGACTCATACATTATGTGTGACTGTACGGACAAATTCTCATTGCTCTCTGCTCATTCACTGTGCTGTCTACTCTCCAAGCACCTTTCAATTACACCCTCTCTGGGTTAGCTTAGTATATGAAGTAAGAGC